TTCCGTTGAATTTTAAGTTTATTGTATCAGTTAAAATGGTTGAATTCTCGTTGTTCAATGATATGGATGATGGTGAAGATGATGATGATGATGATGATATTGTTGATAAGGAGTCGAAATTAAATTGTAATGAAGGATAACCTTGATTAGAAGATGAGTTTGAATTTAATTCGAAAAAATTAATCGAATAGTAACTTGATGAAGGTACAACTTCACTTACAATTTGGACAATTGTTTCGTTCATAATTGTTTTCAATTCTAAAAACTGATTGTTAATTTAGATTAATGATTTACTTTAATTCCGATTGATAAGCGATAACAAATTCATTGGAAACCAATTGATTGATCAATATGTTCAAACTGTTCAACCTTATTTGAGGTACATCTCATTAGAACAAGAACTTTTTGTTTCATCATCATTCTCATCAAAAAACTTTCTCCTCGAATCGAGATTAGAACTTTTCTCTTGTAGAATACCATTGGTGCCATCTATTGGTAGAAAATGTCAACTCACGAAAAGTTTATCGAACAAAAATAAAAAAAAGATTCGAGAAAAGAGATACAATAAGTAAAATTACTTATTTTTATCGATTATTAGACAAGAAACTTTTTTTGCGACAATTGATCGACTGATAAGTTCCCATAAAGATCAATATTTTCACTGATGAAAATCTTGATTTTGATTGTGCTTATTGAATTTGAGGAAATCGGTCAGTTAAACTTTCTTTAATTATTTTGTTCTAATAATTATCACCAACACCTAATTTTGTGATTTGATTCGCGTTCATGGTTGAAATAATTCTTACTAAATTAACCCTCAATCAAATTCATCGATCGCAGAATTTACGAGTAAAAAAAAGTTCTAAACACTATTTTCCTTTAGAACTTTTTTTCCTCTCTGATTTGTTTTCTTTTCTATTTTACGCCAGACTTGTGATTCCAATATGACAGCTATCAAAGTGTATTTCGAAAACGATTGGCTCGAAAGAAGAGAGGAAAAGAGAGATGATGATGATGGAAAAGAGAGAAGAAAAAAGATGATTGAAGTCTCATGAGAGTAGTAAACAATTTCTTCCATTGTTTTTTGTTCAATTCGAATCTCTGAGTTGTTAAGTTTCTCTTATTTCTCTTTTTTTTCAAACAAAAATCTTCGATTTCATTGAAACTGTTGAAAAAGACGAAGAGCAGAAAGAAGAGAGAGAGAGAGAGAGAGAGAGAGAGAGAGAGAGGGAATGAGAATGAGAGCAAAAGAAATCGAATAGAAAACATTCAATTCGAAATAACTTGTTTGGAAACTTATGAATATCACCAAAGTGAACTGTTGATAGAATCGAAATTGAAGATCAATATTCATTACCATCTAACCGGAAAGAGAAAGAGAGAGTGAGAGAGAAAACCTTAGTCTAATTGAAAGAGAATAAAAAAATATTCGAATTCTAGTTTTCTCTCCAAAAATTTCTTTCAAATCTTCAATGAAAACTAATATTTTTCAAGGTCAATTGAATCAATGGCACATTTACAATCATTAACATCTAATATTCCATAAGCTTTATTACAAAATTAAGAAAAACCAACAAAGATCTCACCCTGAATCATTTACATAATTTATCATCACCAGGTATCATCTTCCATATTCATAATATACCTTTTCAATATCAATTCTCAGTTCAATAATCTGATATTTCCTAATAGACTGATCCATTTTCATAGATTGACCATTGTATCCATGATATACTTTATTACAATACAACAGTAAACGACCTCAGTGATAATAAAACCATGTAACATGATGACCAGTTGAATTGAGTGAAACTTTTGAATGAGAATTTTTTAAAGCTCAACTTATTGTTATATTTTATATTAGCTGAATATCAACTTTCCAACTCCCACTCTCAACTTTACCCTGAAACTGTTATCATCCATAAAAGTATATTAATGTATATGACTTTTCAGAATATTGAATTTTCCCTTCATATGGATTCAGAACTTTTTTCCAATTCATTCATTCTGTTACCATGTGATATTCAACTGGATCTTATTACCAACCCTTAACCACCCCGTTCAAAGTTTCAATCCAATTGATATCAGTTTAATAATAGTTACATGTTCAAATGTTTTTTGTATTTCTTTTACTTATACAACCGATTATTACCTTGTTGTTATTGTTCGTCTTCATCATCATCATGATTATCATGAAATAATATATTGTTTACATGACATTATAACCACATGATTGAAGCAACATGAATGATAAACAACATTTATCATGCACTTGAAATTCAATATATTAATATAACAGAATATCAAAACAAACGAGCTTTAATAATCATAACGGTAAATATATCGAAGGTATAAAATACATAGATCCCAAGTTTAGTGAACTAAATACATGACAGGACATGAAGTTTTAATATATTAAATTGTTGAGTTAATCAGATGATAAATTGAGATGAAAATTAAACGATTTACTATTCGATTGTATATTAAAACGAAATTCAATAATTTATCAGATTATTTTCGGATCCATTTTGATGGGAGTGGATAAAAGTTGAGAGAGAGAGAGAGAGTTTATATTGCAATATTATTACATTGAATTAAGTTGGATGGGATATGTAAAGTTGGTTCCAAAGGAGAAACGAGAGTTTGAATTTTATCCTGATTGAGTAAATATTTACATGGGAATCATCAATACTCATAAAGTGTTCATAGTCATGATGAAGATCGTCATGGAACTGAAATTTACTTTTCTCTATTTATGTCTCTTTCTTTTTCTGAAGTTACTTTTTTTGTTCCATTTTATCTTACTTGATGAAAATCCAACTGTATATTTGTTCAAGTATTTTCACAAGCAAATACAAATAATAGCAAATGCAAATTCGAAATTCCGAATTTATTCCATAGGGCGCGGGAGGGTTGGGCTGATAAAGCTCAGGTGAATAATGGAAGATTAGGAAATTCATGGAAGGCTTCAGATTATGAATGAATCTGACGAGGAAGACAAGATAGAGAGAGAGAGAGAGAGAGAGAGAGAGAGAGAGAGAGAGAGAGAGAGAGAGAGAGAGAGAGAGAGAGAGAGAGAGAAAACGAGAGATGAGAGGGAAAAAGGAAATATTTTTTTCTCTACTTTGACTCGGGCAATCGAAAAGAATTTATTTTATTCTATCGATTCAGATTTTCTATCATCATGGGGACTGAACATTTGTTTACTTAATCTTCTCATCCAATTGAAGTTCACTTTACCATTTATTTAAGTTTCTTATGGAAGATTGTCAATGAGAGAGAATGTGAGATGATGATCAAGATGAAGATGAGTAAAAAAAGTTCGAAATCAGTTTGTAATTCGTGATCGTAATTCCTTAAATTCCAAGGCTTGTGACCAATTTACAAGGAGAGAAAAAACTTTACATCTCTCTCTCTCTCTCTCTCTCTCCTTAAACATCCTCAATCTCTTTCATTTTATATTCCAAGTCAGAAATTGTCAACATCACATCGATTCCATATCCAGGGTAACCATCATGAACATTATGTACAGGAAAAGAAATGAACCTTTTCTCCCTCTCATCAGAATCTAAATGTTTACATCAATTCTGTTTCATTTCATTTCATTAACTCTGAATACCTTTTTTCTCCCCTGCAAACTAATACTTGGTGCAATTGATGCAAATTTTTCAGCTTCATTGAATAATAATCCACTTCACCTGAGTTTTCATCATCATGCAAAGCACAAGAAAAAAAATTTAGCTGACAACAAGAATATTAACCCAATAATAAATATCCACCACCTAAATGTTTAATCATTTTGATCCAATTTAAAGTCAAAAGATTATCAATCTCATTAATCTTGAGAGAAACAAAATTAATCAGTGAAAATTTGGAGATATAATTTCAATCTCAATGTAAATCAATTGATAATGTTGATGATGATCAACATGAATATCATGTTTCTCTGATTATTTATTTACTGTATTACAAAATAATCCATCTGAATATTATCAGAATTTTGGTAAATATCTTTTTCCATGAAGAAAAACTCTCTCTCTCTCTCTCTCTCTCTCTCTCTCTCTCTCTCTCTCTCTCTCTCTCGTACATTTCTTTCAAATGATTATCTCACTTAATCACATTTGTAATGATCAACTTCATGAAACATGAGAAGTAAATGAATGGAAAAAAACTTTATAATAAATTTTATCATCATAATCATCATCTTATAATAATCTTAGGAGATGATGAGAGTAGTTGAAGAAAAGAAAGAAAAGTTTCAGAGGAAATCTTATTTTTTGCTGTTTCGAAAAAGAAAAGGATGAACTTCTCTATTCGAATTGAAATATTAACCTGAATATGAAAAAAAGTTCATAAGTAATTCTTTAAATTCACCATCGTCAAGTAAGAATTAGTTGATCCTCATCATTCTTAATCTTCATTATCTTGATAATCTTTTCTATTTACTCTGTTTATCTCTTTCTCTCTTTACCAGTCAATCTCTTTTCATCAGATTTACGCCATTTCTTATATTCACAAGCCTTAATTGTATCAATGGAATTCATCGTTTCATTCAGATTATCTCATTACCCATGATAAAAACAATCTACAACTTGAGAGATAAATTTTCAAATAATCAGCTGAAATCTGATATTCCAAGAATTTAACCAAGAAAGAGATCGAATAATATTTTCTTGGATAAGACCCAAAGACACACTAATCTCTTATCCCTTTTCTGTTTACTCTTCAATCCTAATCTCGTTTTCTGAACAAGTTGTTGAAAGAATCGATCAACTGAGCCAACCCTTGTATCGGTCAATCCAATAAACAGTTAACTCGAAAAACAAATTCCAAGTTAATTAGCTCCAATTGTACATCAAGTAAATTCGAATATTAATCAAATTATAATCGACGATTAACCAGAGAGAGAACAAAATCTTTACTTTTTTCGAACTTTACACTGGCGACATCTACATTTTCTTTTTCTTTTTGCACAGTCGTTGTTTCTCATTTCGAGTTTCGATAATATCTCATTCCATTTATTTTCTCATTTTATTTTCTATTCTCATGGATGCAACAACAAATTCTGTTAATAGTTATCTCTTTTCAATTTTTCTCTCGTGGTTTTAAATGTTCTTCCATCAAACTGATTGGAATTTAATTGTTCCAAACAAATTGAATCTCACCGATAACCTGAAACTCTTATTTCTTCAAGTTTTCCTCTTAATTCTCTTCAATCAATTCATCATCATCTTCTTTTCATCCAATATTATCATTATTATTCTTTCATGGTGATTATGTATCTAACCATTTTCTCTTCACTTTCTTTTTCTTCTCTCTTCTCTTCAACCTCTCCCTTTGTTTTCACCCTCACAACCGCTAATTTACAAAACTTCTACCAACATCCTGGCTCATCTTCTTCATCTTCATCTTCATCCTCATCCTCCTCATCTTCATCCTTAATCTCACCACATTCAATTCCACAACGTGCCAAATGTGACACTGCCCTGAGTATTTGTTCCCGTGATATGAGATGTGCGATGGCCTTACAAGACTATCGGACATCATGTTCCCACCTATTGAACAATAAAACTCGTACCTGTTCAGAAGCATGTAAATTGGCATTAATGTCACTCAATAGTATAACCGAAGGCTATGATTATGTTAATTGTGACTGTGGGGATAATGAATTTTGCCGGAAAGTGCGTCGTCGTACCAGTGTTTGCCATTCAAGGTACAATAATCACCATTCATCTGGTTCATCATCATCATCATTATCTCCTCATGCATCAGTATATGGAATAGATTCTGTTCCCTCATCTTCCCCAGGTAACAACAATAAATTAGGTAAAGAATCATCATCATTATCCTCATCTGGAAATCATCATCATCACCACAGGTATAAAGGTAAAGGTTTCTCATCATCAATTCCAGGAGTAATGTTATGCTCCTCAGCGGAAACCCGTTGCCGTGAGGATGAGGCCTGTTCAGAGGCCTGGGAATTTGTTCAAGTTCATTGTGAAAAAGTTTTCATGGGCACCGAGTGTACCAAAGCTTGTAACAATAGTTTAAATATCCTTTGGCGGCAAAAGGCCGCTTTTTACATGGGAAATTGTATCTGTTCAGAAAATTTACCTTCTCCCTCCTCATCATTATCATCTAGAGGTTCAACTCCTTATGTATTATCTTTACCTCCATATTCATCTTTAGGATCTTCATCTTCATCTTCATCTTCCTCTTCGTTAGCTGCAAATACTTTTAATGAGATTAACTGTAAACGTCGTAAAGCCAACATCAAACGCCTTTGTTTTGGTTATTCATCACCTTCAGCATTAAGTGGAACCGCTTCTGGGTCAAAATCAGTTCATCATAATTCCCTCCTTTCATCCTCACCAATTAATCAACTTGTTATTATATTTTCCACTCTCATCACCATTATTACCACCACAACCATTAATCTACCTGTTAATTGGATTCCCTTGTCCATATTAATGAGCTTCTATTCAATTAGTTTTCTGATAACGTGACAACATGTAAAATGAATCATTTCCTTGGATATAAACGTAAATTTTAATGAATTTTTGTGAATCAATTGATTGAAACTTTTCAAGAGAAAGAGAAGAAAAAAAATTTACTTATGTTCTGTACCATCATCATCATCATCATCATCGTCATCAAGATCTTTTCTCCCTTCATCCTTGCAACATTTTCGTCTTCATCAACATCTCCATCATCATCCATGTTGATCTCGTGTCACGTGTACCTGTCACATCCTAAGGGCAAATAATTATGTTTATCAATATGTTATTTAAGGATAGATTTAGTTCCTCCTCTTTACTCTGCCTTTTTGCTTTGTAATTTAATTTAATTTCATTCTCAATTGTATTGATTAAAAAAAATGAACCTTAAGTTAACTGTACAGCTCTAACACCATTTCCATCATTAACATTTACATCTCACTCAAATTCTCTCTCTTTCACTTCCTCTTCTCCTCCCACTCCCACTTCAACCACCTCCTTCTTATCAACCACATTGTGTAAGTGAAAGCAACAATTTGCCTCTGAAGTAAAATATGAAAACTGTAAAAAAAAACCTTCACCATAGACAAACAAGTAAATTGAGCCTCAGGGGATTTTGCAAGATGGTGTGATGATCAAAATGATGTATAGATGAAGATAAAGATGGCGAAAAAAAAGAACTTAAAAATTCAATGCAATATATATTTCAAACTAATGTCTATGAAGATGATGAGGATGATAAAGAGATCGAGAGAAAGAGAGAGAGAGAGAGAGAGAGAGAGTAAAAATGATTCCCTGACTCTCACCCAGTGAATGAGTTGATTGTAGTTCCCTAATGGTAAATATATAAATCTTCAATTGAGACACTCTCATTGAACCATTTGCATGGTTTATTTAAAAATTCATCATCTTTATCATCATCTCAATCTTCATCTTCATCACCATGCAACACCAATACCCATGACAGATTTATGAAACACTTTTCTTGTTGCTTTCATTTCGCATTTATCATCCTCATCATCTTTTCATCTCTATCACTTTTTTTCAAAGTCACTTTATTTTCCCCCTTATAATCTAATAATAATCGGGAGAAAACCTCTTCTTGACAGTTTTGCAACTGATCATCATTTTCGTCATCATCATCCATTTGTTACACTCTATTTCAATTCTAATAGAGTCCATAAGCCATCATCATCCTCCATGGAAGATGATAATCATCATCACCATATTACATGATTTCCATTTGAGAAAATTTCTTAGAAAAAATAATAATACAATCAATCCTCAAGTGAGAATCATTTTCTTTCATCAACTTTTCTTCATCATTACCAATTGTCAATGAAAGATTTGGATGATTGGATGATGAAGATGAGAATAAAAAATAATAATTCACTATTAAGATGATGAAGATTATCTGTTTAGATTTGGAGGAGAAGAGAGAAAAAAATTCTGACAGTTATCCCATTCACTGAATCATTACATTGAAGTTCTTGTATTGTATCATCTTCATCATCATGTTGTTCGGTGATAAAAAATAGAAGAAGAAGATGAAGATGAAGAGAAGAGAAAGAGGAAAAGAAAGGATGATGATAAGGAAGATAATTTGATATATGGGGTCAAGTTATTTTCCTGTTTCCTGGTGAAACAAAAGGTAATATCGATTTCAATTTCCAATAGAAAATAACGGTAAATCCAACGAGAGATTGTCTCCTTAATGGACCATTCAATTTCATCTATTTTCAAAAATCGAATGAATTTTATCCGAACTGACCATTACCATCATCTTGTCACTCTATCATTGTAAAATCAAATGAATTAACAATGAGCTCACACTTTCATCATCATCACAATCATCATTGAATTAACATATCAATGAATCAGTTGGAATTGTATCAGAAAAAACAACAAGGTCATGGTTGAATTTCATCTCATGAAAGTTTCAGAGTCTCCTGATCTTGAAATAATCAAGACTCACGTGTTTCCATCAATAAGATTGACTTGGTAATAAATGGAAACATCCTCTGGTCATCTTTATCTTTCTCATCAACAAAGAGTTTCTTTCTTCAGAGTTTTTCCTTTTTCTTTTCACCCTGAAAAAAAACATCAAACAGCAGGAAACTTACATCATCTTCATCATCAACAGAGAAACTATCACAAAGGTTGTAGTTATTTTCAAGTATCTAAAATAAACTTGAAGGTAGAAACTTTTTTCCTCTCTTCCTTTTGAATGAAACAAGATGAAAATCTCTTGAAAGGACTTTAAACTTTGAATTTCCTGAGATTGAAATAGAACTGACCATGTGAAAATGAGAGAGATAGAAATCGATGATAAATGATGATATTTGCGAAAATGCATGAAAATCATTGCTCATCTATTTGAGAGAAACAAAGGTGAAAGTGATTGTTATTTCTTTGGAAGAAAAACTTTTTTATTCTAATCTTGAATAATCAAACTTATTGATGGTAATGACTATCATAAGAGAGAGAGAGAGAGAGAGAGAGAGAGAGAGAGAGAGAGAATGATGTAATCTGTGATAAACAGGGAAATAAACATCACTCCCTGAGATGAAGAGGTAAAGGATGAGAGTGGAAGAGAAAATGATCTGTCTATTCCTCGTGTTACCAGAAAATAAAAGGAAAAGATTTGCGGTTCTCCCACTCCCACTTCCATTTCCATCCCTCTGTCTAGCTTTTCATCATCTTCCTCTCTTGCACACAATAAATAGAGAGAGAGATGATGATGATGAAGATGATCAAAACAAGATCATTACCTCAATCAATCCACAAAAAGAAGATGAAACAAAAAAAATCTTCTATTAATGTTTCCAATCGCGTTTTAGATTGAATATCGACCATTGAACATTATCTTATCCGAATAATATTATTAATACAACTTTTTTGTCGATGTTCATCTAACTGTTCACTTCTCACCCCACCTTTATATACCCACCCAGGCACATGATGTGCGTGTGATCTTATAATATCCGGATGAATGGTGTTGCTACCATTAGGACATTCTAATGATTACAAGAGGGAGAAAAGAGAGAGAGAAAGAAGAGAAAAAATCAACTATCGATTACTCCAAGTTATCTCATTTTTGTCTTCTACTCTATTTTCATCTCTCTCTTTCTCTCCATCACCCTTACTGTTGATCATCGGCCCGATTTGAATATAATCTGTGTACAAGTTTCCAATTGAATGACCGGTTGTCATAAATATGTCACCTTAATCCCATTTTCAGATGATATTTGATATAATAAACATAATAAACCATAGACACCAATGTAAAAATGTATTTGCCTTAATATCCTTCCTAATATTTATAAAAACCAATGCAGATCCTTTTATCTCATTCATCCAATCAAATTATTATAAACAGAGTTACTCCATTTTGTTTATTCATAAAATAAACATAATCAACAATCAATGATACTCATACAACAGCGACACACACACACAGATACACTCATACTCACATAGATACACGCACTTATCAATTGACAGATACATGAATGAGATAACATTGACTCCTCTTCCGTCACCCACTTCCCACCGTCTAAAGTCATAGATGATTATGATTACATGCATATATATATATATAGATGATGGTGATGATTATGATGATAATGAGTTCTAATGATTATACTGTATATAAATACGTTGCTAATGATTTTGATGATTAGCAAAAAGATAATGATGTTAATGATGATAATGAGAATCCTCGATTACTTTACATGTATAGATTTTAACTTAAGATCTTTTTTGGCTTAAATTTTGTATTTTTTTCCTTTCACCTTCCGCCCCTGAAAAAAGATACACCATCATTAATACACAATATATTTGCCTCTTTATTGAAGCAATAATCTCATCATTCATCCTGCTAAGAAGATTTATCATCATTATTAGTAAACAATAACTTTATCATGATTATCATGATTAATATCAACAACCTTAAGTGTAATCAAGCAAATTTAATGTATCATAAGCACACAAACACACTTATGTTATATGAAAAACGTATTGTAATTACACCCTAACTAGATGATAATAATAGTGTTAATAAATGTAAATTGTTAACTTAATTACTATCTCATGTCTAACTTTGTGAGTACTTTATTGTTACAAAAATATATTCAATAACATAAGATGATAATTAAATGAAATGATGATGAGTAGGATCCATTTTGATTAAGGGTTAGCTGGTAAATTTGGTTAATCAATCAATTACCATTTGGATTCAATCAATTTTCAAGGGGTTGATATGCAAATTAATTTATAAGCTATTGTAACTTGAACATTCATTAACTTTATTTTATTTATTTTTCATGATAAACTCAATGATAATGTCACATACATTGAGAAGACAGAAAGAGAGAGACTATGGGAAGATGATTTTGTAAGCTGAATCTTCATAAACAGAATGAAGATCAAGATATGAGGTTGAGGGAAAATGGATGATTGGAGGAAGGAGGAAATAAGGTAAGGTGGGTAGGTTGGGAATCTACCAAAAGATGTAATAAAATAACAAGATAATAAAATTTTTTCTGGATACTCAGCATTTGGAAGAGACAAAGAATGGTATTGATGATGATAGTTGATGAGGGTATGATGAGCAATAGATATTTGAAGTAATTTAATGTTGAAATCATCATCATCATCGTCTAAATTTTCCTAATCATAGTACATGTACTTATCATTTGTATCTTTGCATCTCTCTCTCTCTCTCTCTCTCTCTCTCTCTCTCTCTCTCTCTCTCTCTCTCTCAAAAATACAATAAAAGGAGTTTTACCATCACTCATCATCCATTTTCTATCTCTCATCATCATTATCTTATCTTTCTCATCCATTGCTCGATTTCCATCTTACCTGAGTATCTTTGCTCATGACTACACATAACATCAGACACCCAAACATTGAAGACAAATAGTTCAGCCGAGAAAAACCTAGAAAGAGAGAGAGAGAGAGAGAGAGAGAGAGAGAGAGAGGAGCTCGAAAACACCGTTATTATTATTACCCTGTTTGTGCAAATAAGTGCAATTGAATTTCAAGTACTCATGAGTGTGAACCTACATCACTTAACCAGGTAAAAATGATAAAGATGATTTGAAAAAAATAACGGTAAAAAACTCTGTAAATCAAGTTGATCCTTTAC